GTTTTGCGAGAGACTCACCTAAATCCAGCAGAATCTCCCGGTTTTGATATTTCCAGGGGACTGCGCCTACCAGATGAGCCCCACGAAGGGAGAAACCAGTCGCGGGCTGTCGAGGAGTTTTCAGCAACCTTATGGATGGTTCTTAGTTGTCTTTGTTGTTGAGTTCATTTCGACTGAGGCCTGGGGCCTAAAGAACAGTTACACTGGTTCGAAAAAATGTTACTAGGGCACTTTGTGGAGGAAGTATTTTTGGGGAAGAGCTTTCACTTCCAACCATGTGCTGGTACATCGTGCCACAGGAACGTTTTCGGGATTTTTCAGTGAACAGAAAGATCCTATTCACCAAAAGAGTACTTTTGCCTCCGTACTGTTAGGAATATACCAGGTTTCCCGGAGTAGCGCATTTAAGTTTAATTAAAAACAGTCCTTAAAAATACACATGCAATACCATGCAGTCGCACGAAAAGCGTCCAAAATGCGAATAAGTAAATGCGATACATGTTTTTCAATGTGTGCTTAAAAATGACTATCAGTACCGTCACACTGGTCTCCCTGCTATGAACAAACAGATTTTGAAGATTGAAATTTGGACGCGCAGCACCGTTGTCTAGAAAAATATCTGAAACAATGCTATCGAGTTTTCCTTAACCTTATTTTCTACTTGAACCCAAACTGCACAAAATTAGCTAAATACACTCATGAGTAGTGTGTTACGTCTATACAACCTATTTTGATATCTCGGATGTCGTGCAATCTGAGACATAAGGCTGTCGGGCGCAGCACACTCAGTTGAAGAAGAACACCATAAATGATAGGTTCAGCTGGGATTCGCGTGTGTCTCCGGTGAAGACCAAATTGGTGTACTGATAAGTCGAAATTCGTGCAATTTGGGTTGCAGTAGAACATGAGATTGAGGGGACTGCGCCTACCTGATGAGCCCCAAGAAGGGCAAAACCGGTCGTGGGCTACCAAAGAGTGTTCAGAAGTGTATACAACGTGTTGCGATGCAGGTGTATCATACCAAGCGAAATATGAGGCTGTCTGGTTCAACACATTCGATTGAAGAAGAATATCGTAAACAAGATATTTAGTTGGGTCTTCCGCGAAAACCAAACTGGTATGCAAGTGGAAGCATTTTACTGGAATCATTCTGGTTACAGGATTCTCGTCAACTCATAGTTTCTGCAACTGGTTTGAATGTTGGTAGCGCAGGCAGCACCGATGGCCTGTTCACTGAGTTAAACCTTTCAACTATGAGCTTTTCGCTGTCGACTATGTTTACATGGTCATTGCGTTGTTAGGGACCGGAGTGTAGCGGAGCAGCGAATCAGTAGCTGTGCACTGAATAGTCATTCGCTTGTGTTAGTACATTGGCAGCTACCCAGATTGACCCACAGTGATTTTTTTCTCAGTCTGAAAGCTGGTTTCGTTTGTTCTGATAATCAAAAGATGTGGTGGTGGTGGTGTTTCTAGTAACAAAAGGTATCACCTCTATATTCTTGTCACTTGGGAAGGTTTAATATGCCCTCCACCGTGAGTGAGTACGTGTCTGCGGCAAGATCTCCAGAGGTGATCACACCTGGTGAAGTCGCGCAAGGGTGTCGTCTGTTACCCCTTCTCTTTAACTTCATACTCGATATGCTGTTTAGGTCATTTTTTACCTATCTCAAACACCTGGGGGATCGAAATACTCCCGGGGCGTTAGCTGACGATAGCACTTTTCTCCGATCAGACCCTTTGGAAACAGGAACTATTTTAAATAACCCAAATAATTCTGCTGCTTGCTTTAAAGTGCGCTGCACGTCTGCAAAGTGTGAAATTCTACTTCAAGGTTTGGTGGGAACACACCCAAAACTCATGCTTATAAATGGTTCAGTCGGCCGGCTAGGGAAGTCTGGTCATGGGGGCAGGTGCAAAATTCCGACTGGACTGGCAAAACACAGAATTATTTCCCGAATTTGGAAGACCGGTGCGGTGTTTTTCAACCTCTGACGTTTGTGGCATCAATGTGTTTTCAGTCTGGCTGTCAAGGGTAAACCGTACAATACCGCGGCCCGATCTGTGTTACTTTATGGGCCAAAGATGCAGCTGCTGTATAGAGAGTTCTTTGGATGACTCTGGTGGACCGTTAGCATCCACAAAGCATCATGTGAGTCCAGTGAAAACATCAGGTCAGTGATGCTGAGTTTCATTTGGCAGTTTTCAGTAAGGGTAGCTCTTCCTTGGTAGACCAGCAGGCCACACAATACGTAGGTTACGCTGCTTAGGCCACATAATCCGTACGCCAGAGGACCGTTTGCCTCTTCATCCAACCATATGAAGGATGGGGAAAACCCAAGCGAAGTTAGTTCACAGCTTGACAACGGAGCCTGAAAGCCCTTACTAGTCGGAACTCACTCAGGTTGGTAACTGTCGTCTCCCGGGATGGGGACCCAGAAGGAGACAAACCAAAGACCAGGACCCTGACAGATATAGTAATATCGCACAGAAAACAGCAATCCCGCAGTAAAGCTGTTGCGTAGCCCTTACACTCCTTGATATACCAAATAAAAAGAACAATTAGATGTCAGTGAACTAATTGAGCCATCGACTCCAATGCTCGTCCCTTTATCTCTTATTCATCTTATCGTCGGTGGATGGAACGGTAGCAGGTGGGACCACTGTACACGGAGTATAGCTAGAAACCTGACTTCTGATTGATTGATTGATTGACTGACTGACTGACTGACTGACTGATTGATTGATTGATTAAATGCCTGACTGACTGACTAGCTGGCTAGCTGGCTGTCGTGCATCTCATCACTGTTGTGAGCCATAATTGCAAACGTTGCTGGGAGTCATACCTCTGGCCACTCCTTCGTTAGAAAGCTTACGGCTTTGTATAACATAGTGCTGATCTTATTCTATCAGGTATGGTTCCTGACTTGTCTACAGCGTTCCTTGAATCTTGCAAAAGGAGCTTATTAAATGTCAGTCAATTGGAAACTGCTAACTTGAAAATGAATCATCTCTGACCTAATGTCACATCGAAAACACAATGGATCTGAAAATATCTGTTGAAACAGTAAAGCGGAATAGTTTCAGATGCATAATACTTGGCGTTATCATCAAATTTGACACGGAACACAATTAGGCTGATGCAGTTACGCTAGAAGCACAAAGATCGGACAAGAATCCACTAGGCCACCGAGTGCACCCTCCATATTCACGTTTCGTGCCTTGCTTCAACTGTTGTCACACTGAGAGCGTAGATTTCCATGGTGGACTGATGCGGTGTTATTATTGAAACCGAATCTACCATCCACCGAACTGTGGAGCTGCACGCCTGTAAGCTGGCAAGTTCGTTCACAACTAGCCGGTCGTGAGAATTTGTCAGCATTTCCAGTAGTGATAAAAACCGTCTGTTCCCGCTCGTTCCCACGGAAAAACAGGCAAAAAGTCTGACAACAACACATTGCACGACGCCATGTAGACCAACCGAACTGATCAAGGCGATGGTGTGCGTGTCCTGTACGTGAATGTGTGATGATTTACTGCTCGTTGCACGTTGTCTTCCATGATTCCGCATGTCTCCTTGTCGCGTCTCCCACCTGTTCACCTAAGCTATTCAGTCCCGTTTGCTGCCGTCGTTCCATTTTTTATGTTTGCCCGCGTATAGCGGTTCCACGGAATGACAGTAACATTGAGCTTGAGAATTCATTTGCCTGATAAAATCGATGTTCGACAGGTAATGTTCTACTCGATATAATAACTATTCGGATAACGGGATAGAGAACAGGGAACTGCAGATATAAGGCGCCAATTGGGTCCGGTCTGGCAATCGGTTTTAGTGACGCTGGGTACAACACGGTGGTAAGACAACTGTTTTGCCTCTGGGGGAGGTTGACAACCCGAAGGAGCATACAAGGCGATAGATCGCCTGTGTAGATGTAACGGCTGCCTGAAAACGGTTCCTGACCTGGATTGAAGCCATTGCATGCTTTCGGGCGACCGAGCACATGTGTGCCTGTGTGTGTAGCCGAATATGTGTAGCAGGATTCCACGTTGGCGGCTATTGTGCCCACGGAGCGACAACGACGGAGCAGGAGGAAAAACAATTTACGACAACCGATGTGGCGTCGGAACAACAACTGGGTTGAAGTAGAGCGTGCGTGCTTGCTATTTGAGTGGCGCGGGCGCGTGCTTTTTTGTGCAAACACATATATTTGAAACATGAACGCTCGGCACAATAAGTGCTTTCAGTAAGCAAACATGCAAGCGAAAACGCTTACACACCCACACACACGAGAAAGTAGGGCCCAACAGCATAGCAAAGTTGGAGATAAAAGAACGATACAATTCACACCCACCCAGGCTGGACACCACTGACCGTTCATCATTGGCACTTCTTTGTAGTCTGGCGGTTTTGTGGCCAAATACTGCGAATCCTAGCAACCCAAGTTGATCATGACAAACTGACGTTTTAAGCTGCTACATTCCAGCTACCACAGTAGTATTAGTAGCAGCTGCAGCCGCACACGGGTGACAGTATAGGTGGTGAAGACCATACGATACCGTGAGGCGACGACATGCATTTTGAAAGAAGCACTCATCTGAAGGATATACATTACCGAAACAGACGCGAACAAAGTTTGCCCGAGAAAAGAACCACCATGAATAGTCACATTTTCCGGAAGTAACCAAGTTCACTGTCAGTCTGTGGCGACATGACATATATTCACCCCACCGCAAGTTCTTTCGTAGTTAGAGGATTGGAAACAAAGCTTTGTGTCCAACGCAACAGCTTTTACACTGTGCAATAAGAACTCGATAGATTGTGGTGTGGCGTTATTAAGCGGGAGCAAACTGGCCCTCCTTTCCTCGTGACGGAATGTATCCGATAAGTGTTGCATTTACACTCAGCATAAACACTAGCTGGATGGGTGCATATCCATAGGAAATAACGAATGACTACTGGTTGACATGAATAAAAGGTTTGTTGGAATCCCATTAAATACCAGTTAATTTACTGCGAGGGGCAAGATGGCTCAAGTAGTTGGAGCGCGAATTTACTGTTTAGAAAGTCCGTGGTTCGAACCCGACCTCCGCCTCTCGACTTCCCCTGTCTGGGCTTGTTTAACCTGGCAGTATCCCAGCCCTCATGCTTCCTTCGGGTAGCATGACAGCTAGACATTGAAAGGGTGTTACCGCTGAACGATTGTTTTCATCTATTGCGATGATTCGAAGTGACTAATCGCCGGGTGTATAGGTGCGACACGTGATAAAATTACCTCGCAGTTCAGCGACCCACGCTAGGATTCGAAATGATTCAACCTTCTACTATCTGTGTCCGAGGACCTATGTATGTGGTAGAATGAAAACTCGGTCTTTCTGTAGGTAATCAAGTAGTCTGTTGTCTAACCTTGGACAATGTTTCCTCGTTGTGCTTTGTCTGGATGAAAGTTAGGTTCACAAATATTATGCAGTGTCAGTCGCGGGAATTCCGCTTACATTACTGCTGTAAAAAGTGTTTTTTAATGGTGATAATACCATTGATAGCACGTCAACAAATGCTATTCACCAGTGTCCCAGATAGCTTACTCCTATCGGCGATCATTTCCATCAGCAAACAAAGACCTCGAGATTCACTTCAATTGGAGCTGTGAGAAATAGATCGAGAAGCTGAAAGTGGGCAATAACTTATCTCATCAACAGAATGACAGTGATAACCATTCTTACACTTGTGTTCTGATGTGTTCATCTATGTTGGAGTTTAAAACTTCTGTTGTGTTGACTTTCAGCCGATTCGGTAGATCCACAAGTGAAATGACTCTACCAATCACCTGGAAGAACTTAACTTTGTCTGCCAGAACAACCGGATCGGGATTTTTACTACAAGTAGCTACACTCCCCAGCCCAGATGAACAAATGTTAAACTAACATGATTGCAGAATTTGTGGACCCTCTTATTTGATCTTCAAGCCCTGTTGCCATAAGAAATTCCTTAATTTCGAGCAAGGCGAGATCGTGTGTGATGCGAATTTCATCTTCCACACGACCGCAACTAGTGACTGGCAGCTGATCCCATTTTGAGTGATGTCCAATGCTGTAGCAGGTAACATCAATTGATAACGACAGCTTATCGTTCTCGAGATTTACGCATGATTGGTTATGCCTCCATGCCTGTCTACCAGCGCACTGTGGGAATGTCAAGTTGTTGGGTCGCACAAGCTTCACTTATTTACAAAAATCGCACTTAAGCCAACGGATTTTCCCCGACCGCTTCGTAGCTTGTAGATGGACGAACTCGGTGAACATCCGAGGCATCCGCAGTCCGAGTATTCGAAACTCCTACTATATGTCCTCATCTTATTTCCGCCTCTCTACTCCTTGTAACCCCATCCATCCAAATCTACTGTAGCTGTGATCGCATAGGGGAGTTTGCATTGACGTGGTCCCAAAAATTTGGGACAAGAGACAAGGTGTCAGGTGTTTGGGTGTGTATTCGCCTCCGGGGGACATCCGTTACTTCACTGTTAAGACGGGTTCCGTCTGAAGACAGGTCAATATGCACCAGGGAATCCGAAATAATCTGCACTCTCCGCCCATGGTCCATTAGCTTTCTTAAAGCATTCGCTCGGCAGTTGATGGATAGTGAATACGAAGGTCAAGATAACTTCATCCCCATCCCGATACTGCAGCCCTTTAGGACATACTACTCCAGAATTACGGAGTTACACCAGCCCTCTTGAGAGCCAGTTGCGATCGTGATGATGTGCCTGTTTTATTTTTTCAGGAAAATGGTATCACATCTCATGCTTACGATCTTTGTACGCTAGTTTCAATGAGAATAAGTTGGAAAGATTGACAACCTATAACCGTGAGGTAGTGACTCTTAAATTAGACGCTTACGTGAAAAAAAATGATCGTACTGATCTCCTTTAAGAAGACAAATGATGAGACAAGTCTCAGCCTTCTTCTCCGCAAAACAAGTTATCAGGAGGTCGGTGTATTGCATGATGATTTATTTAATGTTGCGAAAGAGGGAGCCAGGGAGCCAGAGTCTATATGTCTCAATGGTAACTTGACGCGTTCCAGCGCATTCCAGCTTACATCACGAAACTCTTCAAGCTTTACTTTCCTTTTATCTCCAAATTGTCTCACACACTCGAAGACATCTTTTCAGAACTGTTTCACTCAAATTTTGATCAAAACAGTCTTTGGACAAATATTTATCATAAATGTTTCTATACCCAGAGATTTTCTGATCTTTTTGCTGACCTGGCAAGAAGTCAAGTTTGTTCACAGCTGAAACGCACGCGACAGAATATAAACTCCGATTTGCAGGTGAGTAATTTTGCTTGACTACTTTGGCCGCAGCCTGCTATTAAATCGCATTGTGTCTATTCACGCTTGCCCCGCACGCCTCCTTTCTCACCTCTTCGGTGGGTTGACTGACATGTAAACTCATTTGACGTGAAGCCAAGATTGACATTCTATCACTTGACAGATGGTCGTCAAGCCATCAAGCTGACATCTGTCGGTTCGACTGTCACCAATGCGGTTGTGTCGGCTGAATTTTTGGCTTACCTTGACAGCTCTGCCCTACCCCGCGGGCTAGTGCTACGGTGGCCATGGCGAATTTTGACTTGCGCGCTACAGTGAACACTGCCGACGCGCGCTGTCAACTGGACTGTCAGTTGAATGTCTTATCAGCTCTGTGGCTACCAGGTTCACCGGAATTCTGCCCAGTCAGTCAAAAGGATGAACTGCAGAAGGCTACAGTTGGGATGGACAAGGTAAGAAAAAGCAAGGTGCACATTTATCATTGTGATCCAATTGACATAGGCCAGGATGTATTTCCAACAGACAGAAACAATGAATTGCAAATTTTTTTTATAAAAAAAACAGTAATCCATATCCATCATATTCCAGGAATATGCACCTTCCTCCAATTTGTGACTTCTTTGCACAGATTCATATTCTGAATAGACCTGATAACTGCATCCTAGCGGTTTTAAAAACATCCTCTTAGTAGTACTTACAGGGAATGCAGCTTTCGGATATCAGACAACGGAAGTTCAATCTTTGCAGATTTCGTGCAAAGACTTGAAGCTAAAATGTAGTTAGGAAGAAAAGTGAGGAATAATCATAAACAAACGGATGGACTGACTAAGTCTTGTGGATTGTGGTCTTGATTGATCACACACCTTCCTGGCTCCCGGTACAACTTTCGATGCGATTTTGACAAAGAAAAGCCTCGCAGAATTATCCTCACTTGGGTGGAGCGTGAGCAGATTCGTCCCAAATACTGCGGAAACGATTATTTCGTTATCTGAAATGCATATACCGCATCCGTCAATGCATCACGTTGTGGTCTTTTCGTAAGCGGCCGAATTTTACGTCTATTTGTCGGGTATTTTCCAAAACGGTCTATATATCTTGGGTTACTCGTGCCTTTAGATTTTCTGGTCGCATTCAGCCATAAACAAGTTTTGATGAACAGTTTTTTTCACGAAAACGGTTGGAAGTCCCCAATCAAGTTTTCAGTAACTAGACACAGATAACCCATACATTCTATACTAGGCAGCGGATGTACAGAACTGGATAGAAAAAGTCGTCACCATGCGGCAATTATACTGACAAATCAGAAGGAAAGTTGTAACGGGGCCACTCTCCAAGTCTTATTGCGACGATGACGACAATAGTGATGTTACTAATGTCAGTGATCACTTCTTTGTTCCTATCTTAGTTTCTCACTTACAGTTAGATGCATTAATCTGTTTTACACTTCTCCCCAAACGATAGTAATCTGAGATGGGTTTCTAGTAATCCCAGCAGTGTGATTGGCGTTGAGTAGGATGACAGCGTCACATTCGGATTATCCCTGCACGTGGTCATTAATACTCTTGCAGGGATCGGAAACTTCTCTATTATTTCAAGCATTTTTCCCTTATACGGAGAGCCAAAATACAATCTACTAGTGAATGTCTGCACTTTGGAAGATGGTTAACCAATGATCAGTGGTAAATAATCACCTGAACTGCTTGCTAGACATAGGTCGTTTCAGTTTAACCATTTTTGCCTGATAGCTCAGGTGAAGGGGACTTTTGGAAATTCAGAATTCTGTTGTTTTTCATACGAAGTGAATTTCTGGACGAGATAGCTGTTAACAAATGTAGCCACGTGGTCACCATGCTGTTGATCTTTTCTCCCCCCTCCCATCGTACAGACCAAAGTTACACAGAATGTCGTTAGAAATTCGTTGGATTCCGTATCACCAATTATGGCAGGCGTTACGAATTGAAGGACAAACCTTCACTTGCAATCATGATCAACCATCATGCGTTCGTTTGTCCACTAGTCTGTTCGCATGTTCATTCTTGGCTTTTGTCTCCTCGAGCCAGGTCACTTGCTAGTCTAATGGTTTAAAATCGTTTTGTGAATGTCGAATTGAGAAAAAACGGCTCTCTTTGTGTTCAGCTCTCATCGATCGCACTTTTGAACACAGCACCTTCAAGACGACGAGGAGGAGGAGAGGAGGACGAAGTCTATGACGACCACGACGACGAAGGCGGCACACATCTGTTTTGCTTGTGGTCGACCTGACTGACTGTCTTCGAACTGGAGCTCACATATGGCAGGTTCGGCTACAAACTAGTCAAGACAACCACCCTCATGCCAGCACTGGTACCACCAACACCGTTGCGTGCCTTGACTGTTACCAGCCAAAAGACCAGCTCACCCCCTCTGTGCTTTCGCAATCACCCTTATCCGTAGATGTCCTGTGCACGACCACACGCACACACATACTGGGAGACCTCTGCACACACAAATCTAAAGGTGAACTATAGAGAGACCAACCCCTTCGTTTCAACAACTCGTTCCCTAAGCTGATCGTTTCTGTTGCCTAGACTGTCATCTACCCTGCCAGTCAATCGACAATTGATGGTTCCAGTCGGTAGTTGTGATGGGTGCAGTATTGTGCGCTAGTCTATAATCTACTATACCGGTTACCTTGATCTACCCACCACACCGGCTTCTCTGTGCACTCAGTCAGTGTGCAACATTACCAACGACGATAATTATATTTCATAATTATAATGATTTTTTTGTTGTGTCAACAAGGCGACGTTGACTTTTGTGTGTGTTGATGCGTGCTGACTTCTTACCTGGGAGTCAAACCTGACCGTCTGCGCAATCACACTGTGAAAATAACACGTCGGTTTTGCTTACATTGTGTCTGACTGATTGACAAATACGGGTGGATATTTTGTGGTATTTCGTACTGGTTGTGCAGCACGGATGATGTGTTTAATCCTAGAACAGAGAATTAGAGACGTTTCGATGCAAACTATAGTTGTCTCGATTTGTACCATTTGTTGGTGCGGGCTGTTGCCAGAAATCTCGGGCCGAAAGATTTTAACGGAGGTATTCTCAGATTTATGTCGATATATGTTATGATTCCTACAGGTGCATTAAAATAGGATGATGAAATTGAGTAGGCCTCAAATTCACTCTGAACACTCTGAAACTCGATGATTATAAATATTGAAGTTGGCAACTCCGTTTTTATCAGATTGAAGTTCAGACTTCCTTAACTCTGGTCTTTGTGTACTCGAACAGCAGAAGATGGTTTATCCTTTAAACTGAAGTTCCCCGTTCAAAAATGCTGGTGAGGTAGAGCTCATCGGGAAGTTCATTAAAATCTACTGGAAAATCCATGTAAGACTTGAACGGAAAATGGCCGATATCAGGTAGCCAGATTAGTATTCTGATAAGTGCACCAAGATACACGGACTTACTTGTCCAGTGAAGGCTGTTCACAGAAAATGTGAGTAACTGCTTTTATTGATAAAATGAACGGATCGTTATAATAAGATTGTAGGTCACATCACTTTTGTCTCGAGAAATTCAGTCTTTATTGGCGTTCCTTCGAGTACCAGTTTCCCTAATCCGAAGGGGTGTGATGGCGCAAGTGGTTAGAGCGCGAATTTACTGACCGGAAGGTCCGTGGTTCGAACCCGACCTCCACCTCTCGACTTCCCCTGTCTAGGCTTGGGTAGCCTGCCAGTATCCCAGCCCTCCTCCTTCCTCTGGGTGGCATGGTCCCTGTCTAGGCTTGGGTAGCCTGCCAGTAGCCCTGCCCTCCTCCTTCCTCTGGGTGGCATGGCATGTTACAGCTGAACGATTTTTCCCTGATCTAAGTGTTCAGACATACTCGGATTCAGTGGCTCCTTAGGAGAGTGACCACAGGTAAACAACGAATTCTGGGGTGTTGGTGTTCGACGTGAATTCATTGCCTGGCACTGGTCAAACTAGTGAAAGTCGGGATTGTTTGGGTTCACTGCACAATCCGTTCGTGAAAAATCCAATGCAGTGCTACTTTGATAACTTTGTTGTAGGATAAGGTAGTTGGGCAAACGAATGCAGGTCTCTTGCGGGACGTCAGTCAGCTTTACACTAGACGATTTGTCTACCGATTTGTCTTCCGATAAGGACCTTTTTTCATTGAAAACTGCTTTCTAATGAAATATAAGGGAAACTCCAAATAAGACAATGGCAACTTGTGGTTCTTGTCTTCCGTAGAAAAAAACATCAAATAAATCGTCAATAGCCCATTTCCATTTAATTATGCCAGCTTCTCTCGCGTTTGCATTAACCATCTTCCCATGTTTCCGACATGCCGGGAGTTGAAATTTTCTGTTGGAAATCACCGGCTCCTACTATCCTTCACCTGCTCAATGTTCACGAATGAGGTAGCAGATCAAAGTGTGATTTCCACTGTTTGTAATAAAAATTACCACCGGAAGACCGCCCTGTTCCACGATGCTGTCAACTTTGGCAGTGTCACTGACAATCGAGCAATTCACAAGCTTGATATTTTCACATGGATGGCCACCACATAAGAAGGGTTTGTACAGGGGCAAACGGAGAACGAGCTAAGGTTGATTTCAATGGCCACGCAACACTTATCATGGAGCCGGGAACAGCCCGTAGCACTCTTCACCCTGAGGTGACAGCTCATGTTTAAGTCTCAACAACATTCAACTGCCAGTACCATTCTGCCTGGTTCGGAGGTTTTCGTGCAGCACATTCAGCAGAAGCTTACCATCTTAAAGGAGAGATTCAGCTGGATTCAATTGAGTCACCTATCACAATCCAATTCGTAAACAGACGGGATTACTTGTTGAGATCTGTCCAATTGGGCCTCAGGTAGAACATAGGATTGGCGAAAACGCGAGGACTGTGCCTACCTGATACAATCCAAGAAGGACGAAATCGGTCGTGGGCTGTGAAAGAACTTTCAGCAACCTTATGAGTAGTGTTGTTTAAGAGGTCAGCTGATTTTGCACCTTAGTGCTCGTGTTGTGAAAGTTTATGAATGACTTCTTCTGTTCTAGAGCCAATGCCACTTTTCCCGGTAGATTCTAAGCTCCGATACATGGCACCGGAAGCATGTTATCCTAATTGTATACTCTTCATCCATCTGGATTTAGGTAACTGACTAGTTTTCCCTACAGTACAGGGATCGAACTGCAATGTATGTCCAGTTCTCCTCTCACTGGAACACAAGATCTGAGTGGATGAAGTTGAAGAAAAAGCGTGTTCCTTAGTACAACGTTATTCTAGTGACAAGTAATTAAATTTCCAGGCACATAAACCATTGAAATGAAATTTAACTGAAATTCATAGAACAGAAGTCAATTGGAGTGCCCACGAATGCAGTTGTGTTGACAGCATCAGACATCAGTGAATGTCCTAAACATTCAGACATCATCTTGCACCTCTGTAAAAAGCGTCCCCTTCAAAGATGTAATATCCATTTGTACTTTTGTTGACATGACCCAACAGTATCATGTTAGAAGTCTGTGAAGAGCATAGCTGTGGCAAAACTAGCTGGATCACTGTGAACGTAAGAACTCTAAGAGCAAGGCAGTGTGGATGCGCAGTTTGTAAGCAAGACTTTTATCTCACAACGACTACTTCAAGTTTGTGTTCTTTGTTGAAAAAAGACTGGCTAAAAACATATCCATGGATTAGACGCAGTAATTCGCAATAAATTTAAATTTTCCTATTGGAACATATAGACATAATCTAGTTTCGTTTCAGTATATTACACTCCACATCCTAACTTTTAGGAAAACAAATCTTATAATGAGAAAGCCAGTGACAGACGTCTATCCAACAATGGAATGACCCCTGTGTCAAGTGAATTGTCAGAATAGGCCTGAGTAACAGTCACCACACACTAGACACCTAGTAATGGGTTGACCTGCTTAAAATATACTACTGGCTACTTGAGACCTTCGGTTTGCATGGTGCGTTTTTTTTCAAACGCGGATATACACTCACTCCCTTATCATCTCCTACTTCCAGTACAGATGTTTCCAGGTTATTTGTCCGGTAACTCGGAAGAAATCATACTATCGGTTCATTTTGGTTTTTCAGCTCACAAGCTGTGCATTACACTGTGGTGCAGTGTTTCCAGCTGCTACAGTTTCGTTCATCCGTGATAAGGGGAATGAGGAACGAGGGTCAAAAGTTAAGGACGATGTCTCAATCAATTCGTTGATGTCGACTGGTTCTGTTTGCGCGAAATGGCAAGGACTGAAAGCTACGGCTTAAGTGCGATGCCATTGGTTGCCTGATACAGCCATATCGGTCAGGGTAACTAACCATCGCTCAGCTTCGGAACATAACGTAACTTAATCAAATAGTGTCCATTTTATTATTGTTTGTGTTTTGAATGGTCATCCGTAGGAACAGTAGTTGACATTGTAACTGGATCTCCTTGATCTTGTTTCTTTTAGTTTTCCCTTATTCACCTATGCGACCGATGCTTAGTTAAGAGCCCAGAACACTGTAACCTTCGTTCCACAAATTACCTGAATTAAGGAAACTAGAACAGACTGAAAAACACCTGAAGACTGCAATGAACACGAGAGGTGGGAATCCCTCCTACCGAAAAATTTACGTGTGCGATTTCGTGCACTTTACACCAAGTACATTGATTCAAGCTAAATGAATAACCCGTGATTTGCAAAGTGTATTTGGTGTTAGTTCCAATTAAATGCAAGTTGCAATCATAAACAGTCCGACCACTGGGCAGTAAGCTAGCTTCAACTCAACTTTCCTATGGGTTTGGACGCTTCTCTCACTTTGGAATTGTACGCACTCTGGCGGGCATCACATCTGAAACAGGGCGGGGCTGCATGAAGTGGATAATCACACGTTATGTTCGCTATGGATTGTGCGGTCTTGTCCATGCAACAAACTTATCTTTCTGAAGTAGGTGCGAGACCGACAACTGTGACAACCGGCAAGGAAATTCGTCAATTGCGTGCTGAATCGGCCGACGTAGTTTTCCGTGTCACCCACAAGTGTCCACTTGACCATCAAGTTTCCGTCTTCAGTGTGATCTCTTGACGCGTTCGCACCTCCTTGATGGAGGTGTCTTGGACAGCTATACACACATACACACACATTCGTGTACTCACACAAACACGCATCAGGTTAATGCAATTCAGGTCGGCACGCTAGCACGATTTAGTCCTTCCTGCTCCCTATGATGGCACATCAGTTCCACACTCTGCTATAACATGGTGGGCAAATTCAGCGTGGTCCATTTTCCGCTGTTTTGATTGTGTGCTAGTAATCTGACACTCAGTTTGAAGTGGGCTGCTGTTGTTGGTGCTCCTGTTGAGCCGGTGAAAGAGCTATTCCCGCGAACGGCGGTTACATGTGATGCACACACAAACGCAATCACAAACACAACACGTCTAATCACCAAAGTAAATCATAGGTGTCAATACGGTCAACAATCTTGCGACTCGTCCACTTACAAGGCGCACCGTCACGCATGTATAAAAACTATCTGTTTATCTGCGCAATCGTAAATTATCACTTCCCGACAGAATCAGCCTGACGAGTAACCAAAACGGCGAGGCCCTCCGTTACCGTGCAACGAGCTTGCACAGAAAAAGTGAACTCTTGAGTTAAACCTTCAATGTTCTGTGGGTTTTCACATGGATGCCGTCCTATGACTAAAAGATTCCCCGTATCTACTATCGAAGTTCTCCATAAAAGCAGGTTGCCTGAATAAAGCCAAATAGACATTTCCTAATTCATACTATGGTAGGCTTTTCAGGATACAATCACATACTCTCCCGTCATTCCATTTATTTCTGTATTCTTCGTGATTAGTTCAAAGCAGGTGGTATATTATGCTAAGGTTGACGTCAACTAACAGGACACTTTTTGGGTATAATGAGCACTGGTTGGCATCACACTCCCTCATGTCCTGATTTGGTCTCTCCCACTGGTTCACAGCACCAAGAACGTAAGATGTTTGTTTACAGGATAGAGGAATCGAAAACATTTTAGCTAGCTGAGGCATGATCCCGTCGTCTCAAGACGAGGTAGCTATATGGCAACAGAAAGTTCAGTTGATAGGTACTGTCAATCGTTGAGTTAGGCAGCAGCAGCTTCTTCTGAATAAGGCTAACCCGTGGTTTACGTTTAGACGGAAATTTCCTTACTGCCGCTCCTCGTCAGTCGTGTCGTTCAAAGAACTCCTGTTTGAATTTATTTTTACGTAGTGGGCACGACAGTATTTCGGTCATAAGGTCCAGGGTTCCGTGTTTATCGGATGTCTGAATAGGACGTGCGCAGATCCAACACTAATTCGTTGAAGATGTAGTTGAAGACCTAGCAGACCGGTCTTTGCGAAGCTGGTATTGCATTCCAGAGCTTTGCACCATGCGGTTAATCCGTTGTTCTTACATGCCGAAGTAGAGAGACCTTAGGTGATATATCCCAAAAGTCGAAACCAAAGAAAGAGTATGTACACGACAACATACCATCAACCAAGGAAGGTACATCACGCTGGTAATATCTGCTTCCTCTCCGGATGGTAGTCACCGCCTTCAGACTATCATGTGCGTTCAGGTTTCGTAAATATTTAGAGCAACAGCACTTTAGTTATCTGAAAATGCTTCCAAAGAGAGTGTTCCTGCGAGAAAAGGACAAAATGACTCCATTTCAAATTTCGGTTAACTGTGAGGAAAAGATTGCCTCCCGAGAGAGGTGCTTCCATGTTGAGAACAAGATGGTCATCCAGGAAGAAAAGCACTTTATTTGCACATGATATCCTATGCGGTAATTTTTGGCTTTCGCCATCCAAATAGGTTGAGAGTGACGGGTATTCATCCAAAACCGGTCAAGTTAGATGGCAATAATGTCAAGGACTCAAGCATTTAAGCGTGAGAATTCCGTGGTGCAACCACTGGAAACAGGAGTAATTCAAATAATAGGAAGCTTATGAATTCCGGGAAGCCAATCAGCTTATGAAGGAGGTTATTTTGTTTGACGAAGTACCACTTTCCGTCGTTCGATATCTGATATGATGTACTGTTCGGTTCACGCGACTTTGAGACTTTATTTTGATAAGCATTACGTGAGCTTGCCTCCAAATAGCAACCTTCTCCAAGGTGACGATGCCTTGTGAGTAAAGTCCTACGCTTGTCTCAGTGATTTTCAGCTTGTCCACCAAAGAAGTAGAAAACTTGCTCTCATTGTGAGTTGTCAGAGAAGTGCGCTCCTCGGTTAACCCAAGATAACCGCATGCCTGGACCCAATAGGGTAACAGGTTTACACAGAGGAGCAAAGACCGGTCTGGACAGGTCAGACATCCTGGTTACCCAACTACATTACCACTAGAAGGTCACGTCATCGCAGGTAATGGGGAACAGCTGGTTCCATTATGAAAAGCAGTTAATGCCGAAACAGGTGGTATCAAATTGTTAATGACAGCTGACCACTCTTTAGATTCCCTCATGGATGGCTAGTGGAGGCTTAAAGTTTGTTTACGGGCGCACAGCAGGATGTCAAGCAGTCGGGTTTCAAACGCTTCATCTGTTGAGCTAAGCTACCGATTTTGGTTCTCGATTAACCGACCAATTTGCAATCGGTCCATCCGGGACCTAGGCCTAAACTGTTCGTAAATGCTGTAGCTATCCGCGCATTCATCTCAACTTTGTGGAGTGCCTAATTGTCAAAGACGTTTACAGACCTGAAGAAATGCAATAAGCCCTGCATACTGCGGTATATCCTGTCCCTCCCTAATACTGTCATGCAACAATTTTGAAAATCGTTCACATTGGTCTTGATGGTCAGTTAGAGTGAAAATAAAGACGGATCGAATTCCGCTTCGAAATTACAGGTCCATGTAGACTGCCTGCAGCGAGTGTGCTAGGGATTTGCAAACAGGGTAAATAAATACATTCAATTGTTAATTAAGTTGATGCTAACATGATACTTGGCTGAACCCTTGTTTAAGTTATCACAAATGTAAGCTTGATGGAAACTTGGATGTTACGTCTACCTGATGAGCCCCAAGAAGGGAAAAATCGGTAGTAGACTGTTCAAGGGTTTTCAACAGTCTAATAAATAGTGCATTGTGTCAAGGAGGGTCACATCAAGATGGGAAGCGGTTACCGCGGAAGGATCAAATCACATCCTCATAGTAGACTGCGTTGGTTACGCCACAGAAAGACCCAAAAACCAAAGTTCCGCGCTTCTTCAAACAGGACTAAGGCTCCTGACTTCCGAAATCTTCGGAGCCAAACTACTAGGTATGTTAGGACGATCGTACTTCATTCTGATTGTTTATGGCTGCAACGATAACCTTGCAGAGTTCTCCCCCTTGCATTGTGCTGCCTTTGGTAAAAACCAACACTTGCAACCAGTTTTGCACAAAAAAATGAAAGAATGGGAAAGTCTTAGGACCCGATGGCAGTCTCCCTGAGTTGCACAAGTATTGCTCCTTTCCCCCACAACAACCTATCCACATCTGTACACGTAGTCGGTTCCATTTTGGGGGAACGGGACATCTCGGTTTTTCTCCCAATCCCGGTGATAGATGACTAAACAGTGTGAAAAAATTATCGGGGAATCAGTCTCCCAGATACTGCGGCTAAGACGTTCATGTCTGTGATCTGCAAATGGTTCTCCAAGGTAGGACACACCTGGGGACCACACAGTCAAGGTGGTTCCCGTCCCGCGAAGAGCCTTACTGACCGGATATTCACCCTACGGTGACTTCTATTAGAGCCAACCATTACCTACTTCAGAGATCTTTGAGCTACATTTGATCCCCTATGCCGTGAGACATTGTGGACTGTCCTGTGTGTTGGTGGTGTACCAGGCAACCTGATTAGCCTCACCAAGGCGCCGAACTCTCTGGTCCAAGTTTATCGTGAAGAGACTTCTGAGTCTACAATTTGTTTTATTCAACTGTGTGCTCGAGTGAGTGATACGATACACTCCGGCATCAATCTAAGTTGAAAGTAGTGAACTGCGGGGCTAAGATCTTCTACGAATTAAAAAAAGATATGCAAGATTTTCTTGACTACCTAAACCCCCGTGAAGGACTCATCGGACTGGTGACCAACAGGAGTAAGACAAAATTATTCACTAAACAAGTATAAATCAACGGATTAAACTCATCGCCGCGGTTTCTCCCATTCTACCTAACGGACACGTTAAAGAAGAAATTGACCTTAGCGTGGATACTATGGGATAGGTCTTTATGCTATTTAGAAAGACCCTATGCAGTAGGGAATTCAGTTCACACAGGGAACTACTCTTCGACAGCCCACGATGGGTTTCTGATTTGCAAACGAGTGTATTTATGAATCAGTCCAACTTTGGTTCAAGTAGATAAGATTGACGGAAACTCGGGGACTGCGCCTACCTGACGAGATCCAAGAAGGGCAAAATGGTTGTCGAAGAGTTTTCAGCAACTTTGTGAGTAGTTTTCCGTATGAAAATATGCTGCGATATCACGATTACCGTACCAACTGAAACATGAAGCGGTCTTTGTGCAGCATATTCAGATGAAGAATATCATAAACGAGAGATTCAGTTGAGTCTCCCGCGAAAACCAGATTTGCAAATGAGCGTATTTGTTGAATGCAGTTTACTTACAGAAGTTTGCATATGAAAGGCGCAAACCGCCCATTTCTTAGTGATGGTCGTGAAAGGTGGCTGCTTAGAGCAGAAGACATTCATAGACTCGAGATTTTTCAGTAGTATCTGAACACCCCGTTGCCGGATAAAATGTACGAATTTGGTTGGTATAGAACGCTGATTGCCTATCTCATGTTTCGGGCAGTTGCTGGAGGAGCAACGACTTCCCTGGTACTGTCACAAGGCTTAAAAACCCGCGGGGAAAACTTTGTAAATGCGCTGGACCCTTCGATGGGCTCTTCAAGATATCCTGAAGGACAAGTTAGCTCCGGAATTGGCATCGTTAATTCAAAATTGGGGGGCATCAGCCACAACGTAACATGTGGACTCCGTTGTTGGAATCGGAAATGGATATAACTCTTGGCAGACCCAACCTGTGACCGTTGTTCGTGGGCAACAACGGTACGGGGCAGCTGCGACGCCCACTCATCCTGTTTCAGTAGCCAACCATGAATAAGGTGAAACAAGTAAGTGTCTGGAGATGTTTGGGGTATGCGTCAGAAAATTCAGAAATACGGGTGAGTTGATTAATTTCTGGGTCTCTGACGTCCTTCCAGGTGCAACCAAGGATTATTTTGTGGAGGCCTAACATTAACAACCGGTATGTATTACACCAAAACACCGAGTCAGACGATTCTCTTACCCATTTTGGTCTGCATTCTCGGAAATTACTAGCATGTCCTGGAGGAGTACGATCAGTTGAAATATCCTTATTTAGCTATCACATGCATACAAAGTACCGTATAATTTGCTCTGAAACGATCATGCTTCTATCCTCCTGATTGAAAGTATCTCAAAAAGTAGACAAATCAGTTCCTCGAAAAGTTATTTTCAACTGCCTTCCTTTTGAGGGAAGCCACTGTTTAAGATTTAAGCCTAATCAACTGCTAGATGCATTCGCAATGATAATCATGCAAATCGGTTCAGCGACCATTCAATTTAGCGCACTGTTATTTCTGTTTCCATGTTATAAACAATATGATATGAATTGGAGTCTATTTCTTCTGAGGTTTAAAAGCGATACGGATGAGGCAATGTATACTACTGATAGGTACTTCTTTTAGAATACAAGAGACATGCTTTTTTGACTGGTGGTTAAGTGTACTGGGGCCGAGCGCAGCCCTAACGAAGATGGAGATCATCGTGATACTTGGCGACTTACTGAAGCACCATCGAACGAGGTAGACAGCTGCTCGTATGGAAAGGCTGGGGATTACGAACAGAACAGTGGTTTTAACTTGAAAATGAGCATTTTGGCTGAGCCTCTGGTTCAGATCGGCCGTTTAGGGACATGTAGTTGTCCGGGTTCGCGACATATCAATGGTATGTACTGGAGGGACTACCAGTCGTTAACCAGGGCCCTTATTTTGTAACATATTTGGAAGAGAAATAGCACAACACAAGAAAGACTCAGTGACTGCGAGAATAAGCAGATGCCTTGCATTTCTGATTTTTTTCATCACACACTAACACAGATGGTCAATTTTATGATTCGATAGTTTTGAGTGGAAATAGGAGTCGAGCCTAATGATGATGCACCTGTCCAATATATTGATTTGATTTCATTTTATGAGGTTTTCGGATCTGAAGGTCACATAATTACGCCCATCTGTTTTGTTTCTTTTCTATCACATGGTCCGACCTAGAAGGCCATAGTTTGGCACGAGATGTGGCACTAACTCAGGGTCTACAAAATCAGAAACCTCAGAGTGCTTCGTGGACACAAAACCCGTTTTAATTTACCTGATGAATTTCTGAAAAACTGCGTTCTCTCATCCTATACGTAGTTATGATCTAACCTATGCATACTTTCCACGCAAACGAACTCCGGGTAACGCGCCACGTGGATCTTACAGCTCTGATACGTTCCGACTCACTTACTGACTATAAAATGAAACTTAAAGCTTGTAGAACACTGTCTTAACGGATGAGCTAAGTATGCATTTTCTTAAAAAGCAATTCTGTCCTGAGTTCTTTGATAATATTTGTCGTCTCCATTCTACAGTAGCTACTTTCAGCTCATATCGCACTCCGAGAAAACACACGCTATGGCCTCATCAATATGAATTTAAGCAATACTGAAAAACTGAACTGATCGATTTCGATTGAACCAGTTCGTTTCGAATGGAGCTCCAAGAATGACGAAACCACTCGCGGGTTGCTGAAAAGCTCGCAGCAACCTCATGAGTAGTGTGTTGTGTCTACAACATATACTGTAATATCTCGAATGTCGAATACCAAGTGAAACATGGGGTGGCCTGGCGCAGTACATTCATCTGAGAATACCATCATAAACGAGAGATTCAGCTGGGTTCCAGGTGGATCACTCAACAAAACCAAAGAGGTATATACATGAGTGTTTTTGCCCTTCAGTGTGGTGACTATCTATTGATGCTTTGAACCTGATTCTTTTTTCTTGACTGTAATAGAGGTAGCCCGCTCTGCGCCCAACTAAATTCCGCCTGATTCTTTTTGAAGGTGTCTAGAAACCAGCTCCTCATCGGACAGGGAGGGATCTGCATAACATGAGTCGCAAACGGTTAGATGAAGACCAAAGATCGTGGCCAGTAGCGAACAGACTGACATCCGGAGACTTCCGGGCCATAATGATTTGTCGTTTCTTGCCTTTTCAACTCAACATCACATGTCTGACCAATAAGTAGCGCACAAATGCTTGAGGGCTGGATAAGCCAATCTCACGCCCCTCACACTACTCAACAAATGCAGTCGATCCGTAGTACAATTTCAACTCGCCACCAATATTCAGCTCTGCATCTCTTCACTTCAGTCAATCAGTCAGACAAGAAAATGTTTGATGGACGTGTTGTCCATGACGGTGATAGTGATGGCTAGTTAGGTTATGTGTGGTGATTGATTGATTGTTCCACAGAACGCGCTACTTGCTCACATTCACCAAGACACAACACACAAAATTCAGAACATATGGACAGGACGAAGTACGTCAGCCACTAGCCATGGTACTTGAATAGCTTTCAGAGTAGTCGCAGTAGTAGTAGTAGTAATAGTAATAGACTAGTTGGTAGCGTTGTAGCTGCCAGTCATTAGTGAAGACAGGTAAGTAGGCCCGCTCGTCAAAACACATACACTTGCATGTGTCTGAAACTTGTCAATTTTGTGGCATGGATCGACGGGGGGTTGAAAAGTCAATGTGTCGAATTGGTGTTGTGGAGGTAGTCGTGCTGCTGCTGATGATGGTGGTGGTGGACTGATTTATTGAAAAGTCAACAAAACATTGGAACCAGCACAGTGGTGAAGCATGCCGAGGTGCGCATGCACTCCGCAGTGCCCCACTTTATTGCGCGCTCCAACCGATGTTTGAATGTGCGTATCTTTCTGGATACGTGTGCCATTGAATAAAGTGAAACCAATGGTTTGGAAAACGTAAATTTGACGTTCAGTGGCTCACAGCAGGGGTTGTTCGAGTCAGGTCATACTGTGAATGAACAAGCGCAAAAGAATGAGCCGCCTAAAAGTTGTCACAGTCGAACTGTAAACGTGGGCCCTCACTGTAAACCGACTGTGATCCTAAAGCACTTGATATATATGTATTTGTCTTAGGGGAGCAGGAAAATCACGGGACAGTTTGCTGAACCTATGAACTGAATATATATATATATATATATATATGCCGAGAAAGCCATAAGATGGTCTTTTGCTACTTGAAAAGAATGGTCACTGAGATGGGGGTTGTAACCACAGGCCTTCAGTAGTCTGTCGGTGTTCTTTTATATACTTTCCAAATTAGCACCTTCTAAGGTACTGACAGGTTCAATGCGAAATAGCTAAACTGCGAAGTATCTGTTCTGTTCAGGAAGGCAAGTTTAGTTTGTGGAGTTACAAAGGAATCCACTCAGGTGAACTCAGTCGTTTACCGCATGGTGAGTTCCACACTGAAAAGAATAGGATAACTTTGCTAGAATGTTAGTCCAATCCGATCAGATATTCGATGAGAAGCTGATTCAACTCAAGACCTGTCTCTGGTTTAAAAACGCTAACGCCATTTTGCTGATTCACCATTGAATCGAATAACCGAAAAGACAGACTTGCTACCGGCAAACATAGGAAGGCGAGCAAGGAAGTACAAGAGGGCAAGTGTAGACTGTAGGATGGCTGTCCCGATTGGTCATACGGTGGAACGGAACCGAATAGTTTTGGACTTGTAAACCAATGGTTCTCAAACTGAAAAATCATCCCGAAATTGGTTCTAAGGCTTGAGTGAAAGGCTAAGCTTTTTCAACAGTAATTGTGAAACCGGTTCTTGCTTTCATTAGAGGAAACTACTCACAAGGTTGCTGAAAACTCATTGACAGCCACGACCTGTTTCACCCTCCCTGGGGCTCATCAGGTAGGCGCAGTTCCCGAGTTTCCGTCAACCTTACGTTTTACTTGAATCCAAATTGGACTGTTTTCGAGAAATACACTCATTTGCAAATCAAGTTAGTTTTCACGACAGACTCTACTGAATCTCTCGTTTGTGATTTTCTACAACTAAATGTACTGCACACAGGCCACCTCAGGATTCAGTTGGCACGATATTCGAGATATCGCAGTATATTTTCATAAAAGAAACTACTCACAAGGTGCAATAGCATAAACGAGAGATTCGGTTGAGTGTCTCGTAAAAGCCAAGTTGATTTGAAAATTAGTGCATTTTTCGGTTCTTGTTTTGTTTGAGGGATTCAAAACTTACTTTGACCCATTTCGTGCTAATTGAGGAATTGGTCTTTGGTCTTCCCCTGAAATCGGTGCCCGAAGCCAAAAAAACTCGGGAACCACAGGTGAAAACAAACAATAGAGATGATACACACTTTAGGATAATAATTGGGCACGTCAGAGGATTCGGTTGACCGTTCCTGGTTGATGGATTCACGATATACAGTAGTCTTTTCTAGTGACGGTCCACGCAGTCTTGGTAGACTTTTATAACTAACTGATTTCCCTGCTCCAGTGCCTTACTTACGGGAGAATGCACGCCAACAAGGAACACAACGCTTTAAATACGGCAAGTGAGAGACCAAAAGTTCCAATGGGTCTTTCGATGTATGGAGCGCACTTTTGCCCCCGATCAAGGCTGTCCGATCTGCGTTGAATGAACACTCATCAACGTCGGGCGTTGCTGAATTGATTGACTGTTTGAGTGTATGATCAGCAGCTGCCTTTTCTGGCCTGGATGCCTGACAGCTTCTCTACCGAGATCTCGGCAAGCTCTGGCGGTTTCAGTAGGTTTTGGGCATTCTGGGATGGCTTTCTGCGGTCTGAATTTCCTGATATACACTGGTCTCCTCTTGATATGAACGTCATTTATCGACCGTACGAGGAAGTACTAAACCATGCACCATTGATAACAGTGCACCGAAACACGGAAACGAAGACATCAATATTGCTACCCTCTCTTGTAAGATTTGTAATATGACAAACTCCTCGTGAGCATCATTCTTACTGTATATGGATCTTAACCCCTTGACAAAAGTTAGGGTACCCTCACTCAAAGGCGGTCACTCAACAAAAGCACTAACTAAACCACAGCGTGAGGCAAATCTTCAGAGTGATTGAGCTGTCAATGTGATCAGTTTCTCAAACGAAAGAATTCAGAGATTATCACCATGAACGTTCACATTACTAACGCTGGTGCAGCAAAAATAACGTTCAATTACACTGGATTCCAAGCTCTGGAATCAACCCGCATATGTCACTCAAAAAGCGTTTAAAACACCATCAAATTCCGTCACCTAAGGATGTCTAAAGGTGCGCTCGCAACATCTTAAATTAAATCACATTTCACGCTACATCCGTCATCAGTAAGTGTCAGCTTCGAAAATGCCAGTTTTTTGCCAAGCGCTTTTCTTTTAGGGTATTTGGAAGTGACGAAACTGACCTTGGCTTGGGTAAAATGTCAACTGTTGATTTAACCAGATGGTGTAGATTCTTCACCGGATGAAGCCTCTATTCTTCTCAGGGAGATACCAACAAAACTTGCACACTTCTGGAAGGTAGTCTTTACCAAGGGATGACGCTGCTGGGGATGGATGATCTGAAGCCGAACGGCTCTAAACCGCAATTGACACCAATGCAGTTTTTGCCTGACAGTCTCTCTGTCGTGATAGCACCACGGTCTCATAATACTGTCAATACATCCTGACCGGATGCGACCTGCCGCAGGATCGTAGAGTTTAGTTTCGACTCGTCAGCTAATGTAGCATTCAATTATTGGTTTCATCGATACGATGGTTTACTCGACATCAAATTTTCAGCCCGGAAGCATGGTTGGAAAAATCGGCTACGCCTTAATCACCTGGGATTTCCTTCTGCCGAAATCACCACACAAATGTTCTTTCGAAGAAACTGTCCACACAATGCAGTAAATGTTAGCTGAGGTATCCTTGCTCGGTGCTTCAAATTGATATAAAAATATGCTGTTTTTATACACTCAAGGATTGTGAATCGTGAGTAGGAGCGTTTCGAATCTCCTTCTTTGCTAGAACATAATTTCAAGTGTTTGGTATTTATCTGTGGCATGCACTCACCAAATAACATGGGTATTCGTACACGCCTTCTTAACAAGATGGGTCAGGTTCAAACATGGTTCGTCATCAAATCACCAGTGAGCATCAGCGACTGCTTAACCTGAAGGATCGCAGTCATAATCCATAATCACGACATGTGCAAAAATGGTCTCAAAACCAACGCAAGTTGAAAAAGACTTACAGTTCGGCGAAGCGTTATCACAGCGCTGGCACCACGAAGTTTTGTACTTCCTCCGGTGTTCTCCAAATGCCACCGTCGTATCAAACGCAACAGACTTGGTCACGCAGTAAATCATTGCTTGCTTTCACGACCATATGTGCATTGAGTCATTTTAACAGGTCACTGGTTACCTGAGTTCTGTAGGAATAGCAAGTAGGTAACTATACAATGCTCCAGACCTCGTCTTGGTTTCCCACGGTATGTGATATTCTTTGGGTAATCCTCGCGTAATCCCTTCATTGCGTGTGGTTAAAAGTACTTCAGGTGGCTTACTTAGCTTTCTTGGTTAAGTCAGTTACTCTGCTGAATACGGCAACCTCACTTTTATTCTGGGACGCACTATTCTTCTGATTGTAGTTCATGCTTTCTCGGGTTGGACTGGGTAGAAAAACCTAGCACCATAGACGTTCCACTATATTGCGTCTTCGGTGGACTCATTTCAGTCAGTGATGCATCTCCGGCTACAATCACTCATCTTTACAGTAAATACATGATTACCAATGTGTTTTGGACTAGACGCCTGGATGTTTCACGGAAGCTACGTCAAACCAAACACGGTCAGTTCTCCGACCCAAAAGAACAGTTCCCTATGTAAGCAATTCTTCTGTTGTTCGGAAGCATGAACGGCTTGAACAAGCCGTAATAATCACTCCTGTTGGCTACTCAACTTAGGCTGCTCATTTGCTGTTGTTGGTAAAATCCAATTGTACGCGCATTACCCAACAGTTTTGAACGCGCCCCTAGATATCCATCACTACTCCTTATCTGCCTTCGAGGACCTGTTCACAATGTTCAACGGGGGTAACTTCTTTGCGAAATTAGATGACCTACGATTAAAAGTGTCGCAAGAGACTTGAAACAACCAACACAAATCATGGGATGCACCAGTACAACAGAATACAATTATTCAAAAAATTGTGGCTATCAGGCTATGGACACCAAGCTCACTAACATACTTAGTGTTATTGTCATAGAACCTGGATCGTGAACTGCAAAATAGATTTGCCGTTACCCTTTGGTACATCACCAACTATGTTTTTCATCCCAGAGTGAAGAAATGTATCTGTATGGCTTTCAAGAGAGACAACCATGAATCGCTCACCTAGGATATTCTCTAACTGTTTTGTTTCATTTCTGGGTTTCGATGTATATTTTCATAAAGGAAACTGCTCACAAGTTTGCTCAAGACTCTCTGACGGCCCACGACCAGCTTCGCAAATGAGTGTATTTGTCGATATTCCGGTTTCTATTTTGATTAGGACGGTGGTCATCCAGACTGTGATGTCATTTAGTGCAAGTACACTTCGTTCGTTTTTACGACCAGTTAAACACTATAGTACATTTTTACCTGCACTGCAGGATGGTCGGTCTTCTGAAATTAATTCCAGAATGTCCAAAACCTACTGAGATCCCCAAACCCCATCAAAATCGCTGTAGGGACGCCGTCAAACGTCTGAATAGGAAAATTCAACTATCCGCTAAAAGCTTAAGTACTTAATCAGTTCATCAAGAGCTGACGATGATGAGTGTTCAGGCATGTCATTGAAGCAACGACTGACGATGATGAGTGTTGACCCAACGCGATCGGACAGCGCAGTAGGGGAGCCGTCAAGCAACTGGGCCAGAAAAGCCAGTTGCCGATTAGATGCTCAAACAGTCAATCAACTGAGCAACGGTCGACGACGAGAAGTGCTCAGGCATGCAACAGAAGAACGGCCGATGATTATGACTGTTCAGATATTTCGTAGAAGGACAGCCCACGACGATGGGCGTTCACCCAACGCCGATCGGACAGCCTGGATTCAAGGTCATAGTGCGCTTTAAATACTGCAATGCCCTTTGTGACTTTTGCACTCGCCTGTTCGCAATAAATCTGTTGTGTTCCTTGTTGATGAGTCTTTTTCTGACACTAAGGCAGCGGAACGGGTACAGCAGTTATTTACCACAAACACTGCGCGTACACCGTCTATCATGCTGTTGACTAGACGCGCCGTGGTGTTTGTCAGATGGGTGACAAAAATGTCTTTTTTCTGTCAAATAGTTATTAACTTCATACCATCTCCTTACCAACTGTTGTTGCAGCAGACTCATCGAATAGCGGTGTTGGTGCTGCCATTTCCCATGTATTTCCTGAGAAAATCGTTTCATAAGATGGCTCATGGACGTCATCCAAATCCTTCAATCTACGTTCGAAATATGTTAGCGATATTTTGCTTCCGAAACAGATCCAGTCGTCTATAAGGCTTGGCAATCACAATGGTTGGTCAAGATCTCGACATCCAATATTGTCATCCGTCCAGTTGTGGATAGGCTGGTTTTTTTCACCAGCTAACGAAATTGCATAGTTCACCTGAAGAAAACACTGCGGTCTTTTCTATCACTTTCGAAGACGAAATAGGGCATCAGTTTGTAAAAGAAACTTGCGCTCTCCCAATAACTTACTCTGCTACTAAGGGAGCCGTGGATCCTTGATCCCTTGTTATCAGAAACCATCACGTATGTACAAAAATCGTAGTCTGCTATTTACAAAAACTCTTTCAACGCCGAGATTCGTGTTTAACGTTTTCAAATAGAGTAACTGAACTGGTTTCCCTCTGTTCAAAATGACTAAGGCAGTTCCAAACCAAACACCCAAAAATTTGTCAGATGAAAGCACTTGCACGTAGTTATGTACACTGGAGGTTGAAAACTTTCGAACTCATGAGTAGTTTCCTTTATGAGAATCTATTGTGATATCGTACCAACCGAAACACGAAGCGGTCTTTGTGCAGCGTATTCAATTGAGGACTATCGTAAAGCAGAGATTCATTTGAGTCCTTCGTGAAAACCAAATTGATATGCAAATGAGTGTATTTGTCGACGTCATTTTTTGTTCATTGTGTGCATGTACTAACTGAACCCTGACCGAGTCAACAGCACCCAATATCAGGGTAGCATTTTGGGTTCGCGGCTCCGTTTATGGTATCGGTAAGCTGACTGCTGTTGATGAGTCTTCTAAGTAGTCTGGTGTTTCTCCCGGCCAATTTCCCATCTAGTGGTACCAGAGTATCCATTATCCGATATCTGCTTCTTATCAATTTCCTTGTCCAGAAAAATTAGTCTGCGCTATTCGGACACAGTTCACTTCTACAACTTTTCAGCATATTTTTACTGCCGAAATGACATTACTCGTATGTGTTTACCTTATTACGATCCGCAGTCTAATGGTAAGACGGAATAGTTTTTCTAGACATTTAACCAAGTATTGGTCAAGCCGAAGGGGGAACGGACAGCAGAAGCATTAGTATAAGCCTTTGCACTGGCCTATCGCAACGTTCCTCACTGGGGGGAAACTCTGGGCTCAGCGAAGCATCCATGGGGCTCCTTGCGTTGCCACCTAGGCACTATGCTTCCGACGAACAGATCGATGCATCTTCAGTCCCGCAAGCAAAGAAGTCCAGTATCAGTGACTCATTGTATGTTCAGGGTTTCGCCCAGTGCGGATCACCAGCGTAAATCAATCAAACCGAATCTATCTTGCAAATTCCCTGTATACGATGTCTCTCAAGCATCAAGCAGACACGGGAGTACACAAGCAAAGCATGCGGTACATACTGACGGTTCAGACACACACTGGTGATCATTACTGGGTCTGTATAGTCTTGCTGTTGCTTGGGGGATCCAAATTATACCACACAGACTCACTGCGAAGACTGAGAAATCTTCAGTACTATAGCTGTTGTTGTGCCTCCTGACCGACAGACTAGGCCCGACAGAGAGAGGTGGAGAGAGAGAAAACAGGACGGAAAGTGATGGTGTGCAAATTTTCCAAAGCTCACCAAAAATTCAAGAACAGCTATTGTCATTCGGGAATATCATCAGCACTTGCCGGCTACCAGATACCAGATAAAAATAATAACTTGACTGGATTATAGGAGGCTGGACGGAAATGTGCTACACCGTGGAAGCAACCAATATTGCACATTGTTTCTGCTAATTGGAGTCGTTTAACGCAAAATGATTTGTCTCATTCAAAACGGCGTAATAAAAGAGCTAAACTGGTGTTAGCTCGAACCAGTATTTGAGAGAATAACTGAGCTTTCAGTCCAATTCCTCATTATCTTCAGTTTGGCATGAAGACAAGTGGATATACACGTCCTTCATCGTCTGTTTTACGTGAATATAGCAGGTGGCGACGTATACTCTGTCAAGACGTCTGAGACCAAAACTCATCTATTTCTGTACACATGGTTACTTTTCCAGCTTGTGCGTACCAGACAACCAAAAAAAGATTTAGCAGATAAATGACCGATGACTGTAAACAGAATTCGGGTGTCTACTCTACAGCACTGCATCACGACCACCCAAATGAGCCATCATTTATCAAATTCAAGCAGCTCATAACTACGCCGAACGCTGTCAAAAGTTGCACACGTTAGCTACCCCGAACGGTACCACATATGACAGTGTTGCAATCACTGTTGGCAAAATTGACCACAGCAACGTTGGCTTAAGAGGAACCTGAACTGGAGATAGCATAGAGTCAGTGAATCGCGTGTGGTGGAACCTCCGAGGAGAGAACAGTCCACTGTCAGTTTACTAACTTCAGCTATTGAAAACACCACCACTGTTGTAGAGCTTGGCGAGTCCTGCTCACTCTGTCTATGCCTATTGATCAGTGGAAGTATCCAGACTCACCAACCAAACACATGTCCTAACATGTGCTTTCTAATTGGTTAATCCGGTCATCGTTACACGTCACAGATGCACACATGAGTTTGTAAGATAATCATATGGTCAGCCCCAAGTTAGTCGATTCCCTCTCCACCATGCACAATCAGCGTTATAGCAGCCACCACTCAACCTCAAACACGTTTCACAATATTCTCCTCAACAGTTGTATTTTACTTCCGAAGAGAGACCATTCAGCTACACTCACTATTCAGGGTGTCCCCATCAGACTGACACACGGATCAGCTGATGCTCAAGCCTATATCTGACGCTAAGCTTACTACTCCCAGCTGGTATTCTCTACAGTGTTTGCGGTCACGTGCTTACCTATCGGATTTAGTTTTCTGGATAGGCTGATGTTTGAAGTATCCTTTCACCTGGGTAATAGTTCGTCCTGGTGCTCGCACACGTGCACATGTGTAAGTGTATCAGGCCAAACGTGTGAGCTATGCACCATAGAATCCACTACGTATGCACTCAATCGACGAAAAAATGGGAAGTGAGCCAAGTATCACTGGACACCGAGAACC